GAAGAGAACAGCATTACTTGTGAATCTGGTCAGAAAGAGCCTGCCTTAGAGAAATTTGGAAATACCAGCTTCTTCAATTTTTTGTTGCTTTACAAAAAATGCTTCCCTTTTTACAGTTAAGCAAAAAAAGAGACCAAATTAATTTTTGAGAAAAAAGACTTCTTTAGCCAAAATACTGAAATGCAGTAACCACAGGAAAACACATGCATATACTTAGTAGACACTTCAAATTGATCTTAAGGGGGGAAAAATGTCGTACCCGATTCTCTTTATATGAATTTTGACAGATAGTAGGCATTCTCTTCTCAACTTAAATGCAAAGTAATCATATGCAAAATTAACAGGACTTGAGACTACCAACACAATCTTTACTAGGTGCACCACTGACACTGTTAGAAGTATTTTGGGAAATAACAAGATATCCTGTGTCATTATAAAGGCATTTTTATTAGAATTAAAATGAAAAGCAGCTGAAAATGAGTAATTAAAGAAGATAAATACAATCACAGAATCACAGAATGGTTTGGGTTGGAAAGGACCTTAAAGATCATTGAGTTCCAACCCCCCTGCCATGGGCAGGGACACCTCCCACTGGCCCAGGTTGCTCAAAGCCTCATCCAGCCTGGCCTTGAACCCCTCCAGGGATGGGGCATCCACAGCTTCTCTGGGCAACCTGGGCCAGTGTCTCACCACCCGCACAGGAAAGATTTCTTCCTAATATCTAAATCTACCTAATCTTCCTAATCTAGATCTACCCTCTAAAATGACCGACTCCCTGGATTTCCTTGCAGGACACTATGTCCAGTCTCCAGCTTTTGAAGGCACCGTGACACACAGTGCTCTCCACGAATCTACTGTTCTCAATCTTAAGTGAGATTTTTGTCCATTCTATCTGTTTCCCAACTTCAAGTCTCTATTTTCTCAACATAATTTTCTGTATAATAAGGTGCAAGTTTAGGTAAAGGTTTGTTTCTTATACTTTTATGACAACACTAAGTTCTGGCCGGCAGCTTAACTGCCAGTTGATGATACACTCTGCAAAAATTTTTTTGGTGCTAGGAAAGCATTTGATGAACCACAACTTTTGTATGCAACATACCATAGTAAGCTATCATGTAACATGGTAAGCTATCTTGGAGCAATCATCGTTAACATCTCCCAGAGGGGATATAATTGCTAAGTGTTTGACTCAGAGAAGAGAGAGGCAGCCAGGAAAAGTGAATTGACTGGAGTGGAAAAGAGAACCATCCAGAATACTATTTGCTTCCTATATTACTTTTTAAAAATTGACACAGTAATACCACTTTCATAGCTCCTCTTTCCTCTTTATTTCCCAGTGCTGAGGACACTTCAGAAAACAGCTACAATTAAGTAACACATACATACATGTTTATAAGTATTTACAAAAATATACATCTTTATTTATCTTTCCAATTAAAATAGGAGATTTCACTCCTCGAGCCCCTCCTTCTCTCCTCCTGTCCTTCTAGGCTTGTATATTGACATCTTTTCACACATCTTTTACTACCCTTTCTCGTGGCTGCCTTTGGTTATACTCACTTACGATACCACAGACAACTGAGCGAACAGGAGATCTAACAGGATTTCTGTGTTGTTAATTAGGAGTGACTGTAAGCCTGAGAATACACCCATATTCTTCAACTATCTGTACCTTAATGCCTTCCAAACTTCAGGGGTGGCTCCAGTCACTAAGTTCAACGGTTGGAGATACACTGCAGAAAATACGCCCTGGCTACCATGGGATTTGAGTAGAGCAACGATCCTACGGTTTCTGCAGGACTACTGTTTTGGAATGAGGCACATGAAAGGAATTTAACTAAGGTGGGGTGAGGAAGAATGTGTTGGGAGATGAAAAATATTCCACAGAAGGTTGTGAAAAAAAAAAAAAAGCATTAAAATCAGAGGATTTGAAATTGAAAGACCAGCTGAAATTCAAGGAAGAAGATGGAGAGAAACATAGAATGGAAGAGGTTACATACGCACAAAACCGCAGTAGAGATTTTGGTACTGTTTTAATCCTGTGCTTTTAGCTTGGACCGAAAATAAGTTCGGCAAAGTCTTTATTAACTTGATTGATTTGCCTACAAGTGGCCACACACATATCCTTCCCTCAGTCTGCTCTATAAAGTCACCTCTGATCCCAGGATATTTAATAAAACATTTCTGAAGCCAAATATACAATCCACCCTGCAAAAAGATGTATAAACACTGATGATTGTTGAAAAAAAGTAAGGATACCAAAATTATCCAGCATAAACTCCAGAAAGGATTTGGAACACACTGCTGCTAATAGGGAAAGCTCAGTTTAGCAACTTGTCTGAACAAATTAAAGAGAATCCTCATATCTGGCAAAGCAAATATGAAAGAAACAAAAAACCCAAGTTCTTTTAGAATAGATCTGTTTAAGAATAAAAAAAAAAAAAAATTAAGTGTCTTTCTCAGTTCAAGGTATATTTAACATACAAATAAATAATATGCATTGTCTGACTGCAGGAAGAAACTATTAACATTTCAGGTCCAAGTTTGAAGGTGAATGAGTCACTTAAATCTAGATTTATGGCAAGGTCTTAAATGAATGTTCTACAAAATGCCACCCTACAACTCCAATTCTAAATTGAACCATTAAATTAAATAACAAAAGGCCTCTGAAATCCTTACTATGCTGTTTTCCAAGACTGACACTGAAAGGATCAACAAAATCTGCAAAAAATGAGAATATGCATTATTCTAAACTAGGAGGCACTACCCTTTGAGAGCACACACATTTTTCCAGGGGAATACTGAGAAAAAACATTATAAAAAATGGAGATTGAGTACTTAATACTATTCCAAGTCATGCAGGAGGGCAATGCAAGCATATTTCCCATTTTCTCCCCCTTTAAAAGGGGCACATTAACTGTCCTCTGGTGAGTGATGAGTAAGCTTTAGTTTTAAAGCCACTGTAATGCGAGGGGCATGCACAGCACACTGCAAGCTTTGGATATCTCATCTGAAATACCTTACACATGCATGCGGCAGAAAGAACAGACAGGAAATTTATCCAGCATAACAGGTAAGAGATTGAACATGTGCTTCAACACTTGCCAAAGATCAAATTCAAGGTTTCACTATTCCCGAAGCAGACAAGCCTGAGGAGCTCATCAGTGTAACACTGTGATCCCACATCAGGCATTCAACTATTAATGAATACCAGCCTCCAATGTTCCATGGGCAAACTTAACTCTAGTCTTCTAGAAACATTTTTAGGGCATGATGACTTTTAAATTTACTTCTTCCAAAGCATTTTTCAGTATTAATTATTTTAAAACACCCTCATGTGATGGCCTAGCTTCAGCAGGTTTGGGGATCTTTCATTCCACAGCAATGAGTCTTGAAACTAGAATTATGACACAAGTAGGAATGCTGCGACACTCTGCACAAGCCAGTCACTGAACGGAGAAGAGAAAAACATTTTACAGGAAAAAGTCAGTTCTTTGGAGCTGGTAGAGAACGACCGAGACTAAAGAACTGATTTAAGTTTGAGGTTCCAGAAGGTAACTGAAATCACTACTTTGGGATCTGCCATCTATGTTACCCTCACTCTGCTTCTGATTCCATCCTGCTTCTGCTCCTACCTGTCCCCCATCACTGATCTTCTCCAAAGATCCTTGCTCCTCTGAGTGAGGTCTATTCCCTCTGATTTTCTTTTGGGGCTGGCTGGGAGCTGTGATATGTTGAGAAAATTTCCTTGCTGTCGGTTCTAACGCTAGGCATCACAGCGCTCACTGTAGCTAGAAGAAACACTTGTAAAGGACATTTCGCTGTCCCTTTGAGGGGAAGGCAGCTCATGCCCTCTGCAGATGAAATCTTTGCAGAATTTTACTGCCAACACCTAACAATTATCTGTGTAATACACTGGAAATATATATATATTTAGATGCTGCAAATTGGCTAAATTTGGGTGCATGTTACTGGAAGGATCAAAAGTAGAGTGACCCTCATGATAAATTTAAGTTTCTGCTTCAAAGTATACAGACAGTACAAATCTTCAATGAACAGTTGTCATTTTTTTTTTTTTTACCCTGAGTAAAACAACATATTCCTTTTCTAACATCATCCCTCAGAACAAGTGAATGGTTTTTCTGAAATCTCTCAAGAAAATTCAGCCTGAGGCACACATTGAGCATAAAAAAAAAATCAGTCTCAAAAGTTCAATTTTGGCAAGGTGATAAGCAGTAAGTACCAGGGTCTTGCTGATGTTTTTACAATCTCTTCACATATGCTTTTTTCCTCTCTCTGTATATTTACGTACATGCAAATATGCAAAAATGATAACGCTGTGTTGCTTATTAAAGTGCTTTCAAGAGCTGAAAGAGCAATTTCGAATAGTCCTATGTAAAAACATGATGTGATCATATCATTTTAAACTGAACTAAGGTTTTAATACTCTAGCAAACACTCAATTGGCTTTCTGATTTTTCTACCCTATTCAATGGTCCCATTCAATAGATTCAAAACATTAACTTTCAATACTGTAAAACACATGAAGTTGTTGAAGAGGAATTTTGATGAAAGCTGCAACTCCTTGAATAACACTGCCTGTTGAGATGCACGTGAAAAAAGACTCATTAAAGCAAAGGACAGTAAAAGCTGTGGAAGATGGTGTAACCTTAGTTCTTCAAATTAGGAGAGATGGAATTAGGATTTACAGTCACGGTTTTTTATTTGGAGAAATAGTTTATAAATGGAGAAGTTACAGCTTGAATAACTGAAATCAGAATGTCAGGGATCCAAGAGGACAGAAAATAAAGGCATGCGCTTGAAGGAGAAGGAGGTTCAGACAAGTGTTATTTTGTAAAAGTTTTACATTCCCAAAAATTATTTTATTTTGGAAAAGAATGTCAAGTACGTCCTTTCTCAGCAAATGGCGGAAATCTTTTTTTCATTCTTTTATAATTTTAAAGCCACCTGTCTCAAAAGCCTTAGCAAATATTTCTTACCTGTGTCCCAACAGTCTCCTGGAAGCAGCGCCCAAGCTGAGTTTTAACTGAAACAGGAAACATATGAGGAATGGGTTGTTGATTTGTGTAAGCAGTATGTCCTTTCTGGGTCTTCTGATACGGAAGACCTTGGTAAGAAACCTGTGGATGTCCTGGCTGAGGTACTTTTGCTTTTTGTCCTGTTGATGTGCTGTCAATTCTTGAAACTTGATGGATCTGAACTGAGGCTTCAGGGGGATGTTTCACGTGGATATTCACTATATTAGGTGGGAACTTCGCTAAAATAATTGAAAGAAAAACACATAAGAAAAATTGGTAATAAAATATGTCAAAGGAGATTTCTTAGGCACCTTTAAGACTTTTTTTTTGTACATTAGCATTTTTACAGAGTGCCTTAAATGACTGAAATATAAATGAAGCCCAAATTTGGGGGTTAGAGGGAAGGCTGAAAGAATGCACAGAGTCTCATTAACAAAGCAAGAAAATGAAAACTCTTCACACAGGAAAGAACGACATTATAGGATTGTAAAGACTGCTACACAAACATGGACGTCCACATTGGCTGGTGTGACATAAATATTTGTGGTCACACTGGGTAATAAGAATCCCATTCAAAGTTCCAGAATTCAAACCTACTGGATTATTTTTGGATATATAGTAAGCTTTATTTTCTTTTTCAGATCCATCATCTTTCTCTGGAACACAGAAAAAGCTTCGTATTTCATCCCTTTACCTTTATATACCTGCCAAGTCCTGAGTTTGCCCCTGCAACCGTTGCCAGCACCTCAACCATCTAAAACCACCACTCCCTTCAACCGAACTTCGAGTTCAGGATTTGGCAGATGAAGAGGGAGGAAATGTTTTTCAGATACTTCCCTTTTTAAATACAGTTGTAGTTTTAAGTCTGGGTATATAGATTGAGACCCTCCAGTCAATGCAATGTTCACCGAAGTGTCTATGACCCTCAAGCCTCTTTTCACTGAAAATCAAAATGCCCTTTAAACATGTAACTCAAATCATTATGGGAAGGACTGGCAGGAGAGGTGGGTAAAAACTCTTATCGTTTGTGAGCTGCGTAAGAAAGTTAGCATGTAATGTGTTTGGCTGGGTCCCTCTCATCAGCAAGTACTGCACAGCCTGCTCGAGGCCAGACAGTCCATTAGATGTAACACCCCTTCCAAACATCAAGAACCAACAAATACCATTTGATATACTTTCCTCTATAATGCATATGGGATTGGTGAGTCTTCTGAATTGCCTCCTTGCTTCCAGGAGGCCAGACTGTTCACTGGAACTTGATTAGGCATCTTCAGTTCTTATTTACAAATCTCAGCCTCACAGATCTACTTCCCAGGAAGCATATTTAATTTATTTTAGCTGCTTTAAACTTACATTATGTTGTACAAATTACTTTTGTTTTTTTCCCATTATTTTCATTTCTCTAGGCACATCTTCAGTATTAATTGGTGTCACTTAGGAATTATTTAAAAAAAAACAAAACTTATTTTTACTCTGCCCTGCATTGTTTCATTTATGAAAATCTTCAATACATTGCAGACAGAAATGTCAGGAATAAGGTAGTAGAAAGTCAGCAAAATATGGCTGCAGGGCCTTAATGGCTCTTCAGATCTTGCCTGTAGTAGAAAACAACCTTCAGGCAAAACTTACACTACATGAGTTCTACTACAGTAAAGCACCAAGGAAAAGATTCAGTGTTAGAACAATTAGCAGTAAGGCCCTTCTGAGGCTATTAGACTGTTTTGCAGGGCAAGACAAGACAGCATAATGTGGCTGCAAAAAGAACAAAACTCGCCCTAACTTACTATCATACATTTTTTTGTATGAAGAGGGATCCCTTCAAATAGTTTCTCCAGCTGATACACCTAAATCTAAATCTAATCTAAATATTAGCCCTCAAAAGAAATCACTGAATTGCTCTGCTTTAATCTATCAATTCACCTAGAGATGTTCAGATGCTGAAAACAACAAATTTAGGCTGGTTCCTCCCATGTAGCATCAACACCACAATCCTGTCCAGGTCTTGGATCACTGCCTAGATGTGCTGATTAATTTTTATTCTTGCCAGACATTTCAGGGTGAATTGTTTTACTCTTTCCTCAAAAAGAAACGAAACACTCCTCTCTCCACAATCCAACATCCTCATTTGGGCATGGAAAGAGAAGAAAAGGCACTGTGACTGCTGATGCTTCCGATGAGGACTTGAAGGTCAGGAAAAAAAATATTCAAGAGGTCAGACTCTTTAGCAATCAGAAATTAATTCTGTGTTCAATCTGAAAAACAACTATGTCTTAAAAAATGTTTTAGGGTCCACCATATTGATGAAAATAATTTAATCTGTAATTAAATAGACACAGAAATAGTTTGTGTTCAGCTAAATGTTTAGGTAACAATCATCTCCATATTCTCTTATTCTCTCACTCCTCCCCCACCTCTCCATTTCTTTTTTTTTTTAAGTCATAAAAGTTCTGTGAAGCTTTAGTGACTAATACTCCAACATGCAATGGAAACTATTTCCCAATGGACTGTGTAGCAGTCCCTAGAGAACAAATCCATTGAAAAGACAGAGCAGATACTTAAAAGCATTTATAAAATATTGTGTTTCCAGAACGATACTATCAACACCTTCCTTCACAGCTATGTCCCTGTCTGAAAACAGAATTACTACATTAGATTATATTTATCACAAACATATAAATAGTTTTTAAAACAACCTGGCAATTCAAACAAATAAACAAAATTCACACTAATTCATATGTTTTGAAACTGAACTGCAGGGGGTTTTCCATATGGAGAGGATCTCACCCAGATAAAATGCTGCCTAGAGTCACAGGACACACAGGAACCAAATTCAACACTTCTCTTCAAGGTCATCAGAAGCTGTCACCTCACAAAAAGGTATAAGGGGAAACAGAAACCTGAAGCTGACTGAACTTTCTTTGACTGGGCAAAATTTTATTAACATCACAGATTTTATTTTTTCTGATCCTTTGCCTTCTTCACACCCTTACCATTTTTTTTTCTGTGATATTATTACATGACCTGGAAAGAAAGTTCTACTTAACTGAATCCTATCATGGCTTATCTTCACTGCAAAATAAACTTCCAGGACTCTACCAAATGATATAACAACAATAGATATGTATTGCATTTTTCATTTTACACTAGATTTAAACTTTGTTATGTTGAGAAGCATTGTCTCTGCCCTCCACTAGTAACCACGGAATCACCCGCAACTTTCCATCCAGGTATACTGCAATTTATGGACTCTGTTTAGCCACATTCATTCTCCTTTTGAACAGGTCTACATTCCTGGAAGAAGCCTCTTGCATTATCCTTTGACTCTACAGTCACCATCCAGCACAGTAAATTTACTTTTAAACTCTTTTCAAGAGCACAGTTATTTCTTATTATTTCAGTCATTGTGCAACATTCTTTCCAGTCATTCTGGTGAGCTCACGATTCAAGCTGTGGTGTCAAGATCTGAACTATGTAGACAGATCACTATCGTTACTGGTTGGATACCCCAAATTAGCTAATAAAATCGACTCCAAAGGAAAATACATCTATCAAGAAAAAAGTTACCTTTTGTACCTTGCTGCCCAGACATCGTCAGTGGTAAAGTATGAGTGGAGTGGATGATTTGTGATCCTGCAGCCTTGTTCACCTGTTGCGGATGATGGTACAGCTTTGGAGTATTGGCAGTCTGCACAGGGATCTGACAAAGTTTACCGGTGTAATTAGGAGGGCACTGGCATTTGTCTCTAGAACTGCACTGGCCTCCATTCATGCACGGCAGGTGGCAAATAACTGAAATGAAAACAGAAGGAAAAATTTTGTTCATAACTTTACCTTTAGTATTATCTGATCACATATCAGACACAAGTTGAGGAGGAAAGGATTAGGGCTGGGGCCCTTTGTTCTTCCGACATCTGAGCGATGACTGCCCATCTGACATGCACTTTTAATTGCCTTGTGGTAGAACCACTTCCCTTCCTCTCCTTGTGACCTCTGCCTGGTTTGCACCTTCTCTCCGTGACAAACACAGCAAGCACGTTCTTCCCTTAGAAATCCCAGCTGTTTTATTTCATTATGATATTAAGCAATACACTAAATTAATATGGTGCCTATATGGTGCCTGGCTGCACCTCTTATCCATGCTTTGGTACAGGTATTCTCACCTAGTCTGCCTCCCATTTCTGAAAATCTGGGACCACATACACTTCCCTGAAAGAAAAAACTTAAAGGAAAAACTCACTGGGAAGTACTACTGGGGATAAATTTTCCATTTTCACTGTAAGCCTTGGCTGTTCTCTGGAAAAGCGTGTCTTACTGAGTATCTGGATTGTTGCTTAACATTTATCTCTCAGATAAAATAAGCTAATTTGTATACCCACCCATGAAGATCATTAAAATATTGAGAGATCATACTGAAATTATTTCAGAGACAAATTCCAAAGTATTAAAATATTTTAACTCCAATATAAAGACAAGGGTAATTACTTTGGTGCCAGCTAGTACTTGCAGATTTACAGCAATATAAATTATCAGATGAAAGTTGGAAAGTGTCAACATTGAATGAAAAATATTTCTTAACTCAGAGATATAAACAGTAATAGGCATGGTTCAGCACTTTCTAAAAATATGACGTGAGACCTTATAATCTGGAATCTAGCTGAGCTGTCAACATTTTCAAGAATTAAATGATGTAAAAACAACAGGAAAAATAAGTTTTTGTTCCAGACAAACTAAAGTAATACTTTCAAAAGCAAAGATTTTTGGAGAAATTGCATACAGTATCCATTTGTTAGCTTAAAGATAAGATTCTGACTGTAAAAATAAATTTTTTAAATTCTAGACTTTAGAGTAATTATGGCATTTTTCTGGATTAGTATTGCTCGGTCTATATTGAATTACAATAAAAACGAGAAACTGTAGATAACGCAAGGTAATTAGGAGCCTTGTGCTTATTATTCCATGTGGTGTAACTCTCTGGACAACCCCAGCCTATTGCTATTATTAATACCATAAAACGTCAGCATTGGAGAAAGAACTTGTGTGCTGTGCGCCACAAAAAGACAAAGTAGGACATTCAGCAGCCCAAGGAGTTCCAACCCAGCTGCGTAATTCACTTGGCCCAAGAAGAGCACTCCAGAAATGGCGCAATCAGCCCGGCTCGTCGCGCGGCACCCTCCCATTGAATTGACAGGGGCTGGAACGGCGACGCCTGATCGCCAGATACGTCCATGCACAAATGTAAACAGCCAGAATTGTTTTTCCACTCTGTTCTGCAAATGTATATTTAATATTTTTCCTCATCTTATCTCATTTTTTCATTTCATATAAACTGACTGAAAGGACTTCAAGCTGTCGCACTGTGCTAGAAGACCTACTTGACTTTGGAAGATGGTCCACACCAGCACAGGCCTCACCTTTTTGGGTATCGATGCTGTTGGGACTTTATCTGAGTGTATAAAAGACATCCTGATAGAATAGCTGTTATGTCATAGAATAGAATCATAGAATCATCGAATCATTAAGGTTGGAAAAGACCTCAAGGATTATCAAGTCCAACCGTCAACCCAACACCACCTAACCCACTAAACCCTGTCCCCAAGCACCATATGTACACGAATTTTTGTCCCCCACAGTAGTTAAAGCATGACAGCTATCTCTCTGGTACCATAATCTCCCTTAGCAGCCGCCAACGAGCAGGTTTACTGCAATGGTGACAACATGTGAAGAATTTTAGGTACTTGTAAAGTTTCATCTCACGATGAAATAGTGTAAAGTAGCACTAAGGGGACAGTGATCTGGTGTTTGAAAGAAGTACAGTGAAGCAGCAAAGAGAAACAGTCACTCTGAGGAACTCCTCCAGTGCAAGAAGCCTGTCCCATAAGATTTTCTTCCCACCTTCTCCAGCCTCCAGGCAACAACGTAACATGCAAAATATGGATTTTAATCAACATAAATATACCAAATAGTTCCACCAAAATAAATTAATTTCTTCCAAGCCCCCGTTCCTATAAAGCAGTTGGCATCTGGGAGCCCATGCCGTGTGGGTATCTCTGCGGGGCACGCTTCAGGCTTTCCTCTCCTGCAGGAGCCCTCCGGGCAAGGAACAGGCACAGGACAAGCTTTGCTTTCAAGCAAACAGAAAGCTTGCCTAAAAACACTAGGAAGGAAGATACCAACAGAAAAGAGTTCATTCATGTCCCTTTTCAGAACTGTTAGCTGTGGACTCTCACACAAATAACTTGTGCAAATAAGTGCAAACAAATGCCACGGAAAGGTCTAGTATGAGGTAAATAATGGAGAATGTTTAATTTCTCAGGATTTACACACCAGAAAATAAAAATTCTGAGGTGCCCACATTATCGTGTGGTGCAAATCACTCAGTCATCTGATTTATGTACAGATACATTGATTTACAACTCTTGAAGGTCTGGCCTAACGTATGAGGAATGAACTTTGAATGAGAATACATTAGAACTATTATGAAAATATAAAATTCTGTAATAAAAAACTAAAAATTCTGAAATATACAATTGTAAGTTATACTCAGCCATGTAAGAACAAATAAGATGTGATCACCAGTCTAAACTAAAGCTCAATAATCTCCAACGGCAAATATTATGAGAATTAAAAAAAAAACCACAAAGAAACCCCAAAAATGAAAAATGAAATGTGGTGAAATAAAATATCTGATAATTTTAGGTAGGCATAACAAGCACATACACACACACTAATTGCAATGTTTCCTCGGGCAGTTTACGGCCAGGAAAAAGGGCAACGTTTGATTATGACACTGGTGTTGGAAATGACAGGCACACAACTTCACCAGAGCTGGAATTACACACAGACCATTTGAGCTGAAGGGGGGTAAGCCTCCAAAAAGGCAGAGGAAGGAAATGCTACTTTTCCTCAAAAAGGCTCTGGGAATCTCAGGTTCACAAAACCAAAGAGCCCTGGGGAAAGGACCACTTAAGACAGGAACAGGACGTAAAGCCAGGGTATGTTTGAACAGCTCAATTTCTGATGAAAGTTTTTTTGCTTTGTTTCGTTTTGTCACTGAGGTTAAAGAACTTAAACAAACAGAATGGCTGAACTCTGCCAGAGACATAGGGGACACTCCTGACAAAACCCAGATCCATGTCCTGGGAAAGACCATTAGAAAATGCTGGGTTTTCATATATGTTCACCACCGGCATTCAAAGGACGCACTGGAGCCTGATTCTCACTGGGCTGTTGCCATTTCCCCTGAGAAGAAAAAAAAAAAAAATGGAAATAAAAATATCCATTATGGTGTGAAATCCTCTAGCTGGTCAGAGCCTGATAAAAATATAGAGGTAGGTCTGCACAAGATGACAAGAAATTTCAGATCACATGTGGGTATCTTACAAACAAAACAAAGGAAGTATTAATGGACCTAAGAAAGGCAACAAATTCTTCGCTCAGCTCTGCTATAAGCCAAGTCACTCAACTCTCTCTTAAGGATCAGCCAACATATGATTGAACAAATTTAATGATTTCTTAATATAAATGAACATCCATCCTTTAGAAATGTAGAGACACGTTAAATGAATTAGAAACATTTTAAATATTCTTCTCATCCTTGGGTAACTAATTGGCAATAACAAGCTTTGATTTCCCTGGCTCCCAAAGGCATTCCCCTCCTTGGTGGGTATCACAGTTCAAAATGAGCCAAGTAGAGAAGGTGCATCAAGATGCCTCCACAGCGAGTCTCTGAACAACTGAATGCATAGAAAAAGGAGAAAACATTTGCAACATGAATCCCGCAAAAGCTGCCATGGCTATGGGTTGGAAACACAAGGATAGGGCATGAAATCATCAACAAAGAAGCTAGGAAACCACAGATATACAGTTTGTCCATGTACTTACATCATCTAATTTGTTTTCAAGATACTCAAACAACCTTGAATAGCTCCAGATAAACTAATTTAATCAAGTCCAAATGTTTTCATTTAATCAAAATAATGTGTAACAAAACAAATTCCAAGCACCTAAATCCTCTTAATCCTTAAAAAATAGCCCACGCTTACCCAAAGCCCTCAGGATGGATGGAAACTCCCTTCCTGTAACCAGTGTTGAAGAAAATGAAGAAAGGTTTTGAAATGTTCCCCATCTGACTCTCCAAATTCCTTTTCTTTTACACCTCAGGGAACATGCAAGTTTCTGTCTCGCTTTCCCTCAACACTCTTTGCCTTTTCTACTTACACGCTATCAACTATTCAAGTGTAAGCACTATTCAATTACATCAACAGGCTCTCCAAGGAAAACCGTAAGCTGCTCATTAGATCACAGTATTTCCACTGGATGCATCAGGAATCAGCAGATTAATTTTGTCTCCGAGTACTACACAGTTATCCAGCATTACTACATGCCCCACAGCTGTTCAGGCATCTTTCACCCATGTTGTTATTAAGCACACAGAAAGCACAGGGACTAGGCATGCAGTTCTACCAAACCCAATTTTTCACAGGAAAGAAGAGATGGCATTCCCTGAGGGGAAGCACTGCCCTATACAGCATTCTTGTAAGGTAGTTCCTCTACACACCATACATTTTGTGTAAAAGCTGAAATCCAGAGATGCTATATATAGATCTGCACAACACAATTACTCCAAACTTATTTCTACTTTCTAATTACAGAAACTCTCACAGTAACTCACAAAAGGTACAGAGTAGCCTCTCAAAATCCCAGAGTAAGATCTGTGTACACGCTACGTATGCACCATCCATCTCTATAAAATTTCTTCTTTATCCAGAAACTACTAACAAGGATACATG